ATGGATTTTGTTGTCAGGTCGAGTGGTTTGAAAATGTCTTTCAACTTTAGAATCATATCTTAAATAGTTATGCCAAGTATTAATCGGCCTAATCTTGTTCATGAATTTTCTAAAAGCTCATTTGTTAAGCTCCTTCTCAGCTGCTCTTATTCTGACCTCTATGATACACATTGAATTTGGGATGAAATGCCTCATACTTTTATTTGTTAGATTTGAAGATTTTGATGTTAGCAACATAAGCACTATTTCAAGCTGTTATAACTTACATGATTGTAAGATATAGAGGATTTTTCTGTACCGCAAAAAGAATTTTTAGGAAGTCATTAAGTTGTAAACCCTTTACCTTTAGCACAAGGGTCATCGCCTTTACAAGCAGGGCATAGCATCAATGTGTCAAAAATTTAATTGTGAAATGCATATATAGGATTCAAGGCTTATACTGTACTGGGACTAAAGTCCTTAGAGATGTCAATGTGGTTGCTTACTTGTTTGGTAGTCTTAGGGCTTAGGAAAACTGGTCAAGCAGAAGTTTTGCTTGCTTATCCTTTTTTTTCATAACTGCAGTTGCTGAGTTTTAGCTTCCACTTATAATTTGAAAAACACTCAAATCAGCTAAAAATGACATTTTCATGGCATATGGCCTTCCCGGTTGTTAGTTAGGCCTAGCACTTGCCATCGGCATGAAACGGGTGTGCCAAAAGAAAGACAAGAGAAAAATATGATATGAAAAAAGGAGAAAGAGAGAGGGATGTGGTGTGGTTCCTCTCTAGCAACATCATCTGGGACAGAGAAACTTCTCTGTTCAAGGGATGCCGGTTATTATTTGGTAGCTGATTTAAGTGGAATGACATGTACCTTGCACAACCCAGTTACGAAGCATGGGCACTGCCTTGGATGTGTCAAATATTTCAAAGCATGTTAGAATATCTGCATCATCTACAATTAATAATGTCTATATGTATTATTTGTTGATAAATGAATATTTGAGGTATTTTGTGAATGATTGTTACCTTTACATAGCTACATATATCATAATCACAAGTTCTACAAAATTTATGTTTGTATATAAAACTGTTGCTACATATTATATGGTGTTTTATTGTCATTTTCGGGCCATGTTACTTCTGGATTTTCAAACATTAGATACGTCTGGGTCTATGCCTCATGGTGGACCATTATGGACAGTACCAAAAATCTTTACTTTGAACATCAGAAGTAGAAGACACTTGTTATCATTCTCTTTTTCTAATTTGTTGCTTGGTTTGCATTTAATATTGAGGGAAAATTACTGTTGATATCAATGATTTCTTCTACTTTAAAAGATATATATATATATATATATATATATATATATA